AATTCAAATTCAAATTTGAATCAGATATATAAACTTTTGACTTATAAACTTTGGGTCTCTAAACTTTAGGTGTATAAAATTTAGATGTGTAAACTTTAGGTACAAAAATTTACTAAAATCGGAAAGTAATACAGTGACAAAAAAGGAAACCATGTGGAGGAGGGGGGTGATTGCTAGGGGCGATCGATCGCCCGTTAGCCTATTCGTTCAGAATATATTAAGGGAGATGCTGTTTATATGAGGAAAAAATTAGAAAAAGAAACGGAATCGCTATAAAACTTTGCAACATATCTTTCTTTTAAAAAATATCGATTATTTAGTCGCTGGATTCATTCCATGATTCATACACGAGATGGAAGAAATCGCACTAGCTAGTGGCCGCACAAGAAAATGTCGTCATCGCGTGCGGTCTCTTAAGTGGACCGCATACGATGTGTTTGCACTATTGTGTGCGGTCTATTAATAGGACCACACGCGATAATACGTCTACGCATGTGACATGGTTACGGAAAGGGCATAACTTCTATTCTACGACTTATGGAATACTCCCTCTGTCCCATAAAAACCAACCTAGTATCGGATGTGACACATCCTAGTACTACGAATTTGGACATATATATGTCCGAATTCATCGTACTAGAATATGTCACATCCGGTCCTAGATTCGTTTTTTTATGGGACGGAGGGAGTATATAGATACATCATACCTTTGTATGTGTGATAGACTTCCATATACGATAAGGAAATTGACAAGAGATTGTGGAAATAATCCTCACGAGCAAGTACGTAACAGAGTTCTACTCGGAGAGGTTATGATTATACTATATCGTGCAGGGTCCGGGGTCTCCGAGTTCTACTAGGAGACTAAGGGATTCATTGTATAAATATATATCCCCCTGAGGGGTTTAGGGTATCGAATCACAGCACTAGCCAACCCGCCACCACAGAAGCGATCCGGAGGACTTGAAGCCTACTCGCCGGTAGATCTCGTTGAGACTCTCTCGACAAGGATCTCGTCGGTAATTTTGGAATCAGTTGTTCTCTATTGTACTATGTGGATTTCCATATCAATCTCATATAAACTAGATTAGGGCTATTACCTCGCGAGGGGCCTGAACCAATATAATCCTTTTTGTTTGCTTGATGTCGAATCGTATAGATCCTTGTACCAACGTACCCCAATACCCATACTGTGCGGTATACGGTATCCCCCGTCGATAGCATGCGGTCCGTCAAACAACCCCTGGGGACCGGTTTTTCCATGTGCAGCTACTTATGCCCTGCCTAAAACCTATGCCCCCCGTGTACAGGAAAATCGTCTTTTTAGTAGTGTGAGAGGCATTGATACCACACCCTCTACTTTGCTAGTCACTAAGCCAACGCTGACTTTGGTGTAAAATATAAATTTACATGCTACTGTCGCCCATGTAAAAAAAATCACTCCTGGGTATTATGCATCTAAGTATGGAGTATATTTGTACTCTATTGTAAGATTACTGACAACGACCGTCGGTGCTGGATGTAAGGTTCAACAATAAGAAGTCTTGGACTCTCAAAACTGTCGAATGTAATATAACCCTATAGATATTCCCAAATAAAATTATGCAGCTTTCTTCAGCTTTATGCACCTATTTGATTTGAAACCCTACTAAAATATTGAAACCCTACTAAAATATTGATAGTGTTAATTCTTGAGCAAGTTTTAACACTGCCAAATTTTTTGGAGTGCAGAGTTATACTCCTTCCGGTATCAAAATAGTTGATGTTTTATATGTGGAAGCAAAATATGCTAATTCTTGATGTTTTATCTTGCCTGTACATCTTGGACCTGCTTGCCCTCCTGATTAAGGCCTGTTTCTTTCAGCTTGAGATTATTATAATCTAGATTATTGAGTCAGATTACTATAAGCTAGATTGTTATAATTTGTAGTAGAATAAGCGGTTAGTTGTTTCTTTCCTAGATTATTGGAGCCTAGATTATTAGGTTTGCAAGTCTAAAGAGGGAGTGGGGTGGTATGGTGGGTAATTTTTCACCCAATAATCTGGAAAAAGCTCACCTAAATGAGCTTATCAGATTATAATAAGCTGGGCTCCAGATTATAATAAGCTACTTCAATAAGTTATCTGTTTCTTTCAGCTTACTCCCAATGATCTAGATTATAATAATCCCAAGCTAAAAAAAACAGGGCCTAACTGCTCGTTGGCTTCTTTGGTTCTTTCTACGCGTTGCTTGTTGGTCGTCAGCCTTTTACATGCTCTTTGCTCGCTGCCAAGTACTGCTTTCATCCATGGATAACATACTAGTGATGAGATGGCCGAGCATAGAGGAGGCCGTGCTTTTAGCAACTTCTTCCTCGCCGACTGTAGGGTTGGACAAAAAGCTCGAAACTCGTAAGCTTGTCTCGGATCGATTCGAACTCGTAGTATTAATGAGTCGAGTCGAGCTAGCCTTTTAGCTCGCGAGCTGCTCGTTAGTATAAAATATCACCATATCTTCATGAACTTAGTATTTCTTGATTGGTGCTTAGTCTTTTAATTACAGCAAAACTATTCATATTTAGTGACTACTATATTAGTTAGTGTTTATTATTATGTTAATACATAATAAAATCTTAAATTTAAAATTATTAATATGATATTATTGAGATATAGCTCGTTAACGAGCCTAACGAGCTAGCTCGCGAGCCAAGCCGAGCTGGCTCGTTAAGACAACGAGCTCAAACGAGCCAATCTGGCTCGTTATCCACCTCTAGCCGACAGGTGTGATAGCAGCGATGATGTAGCAGCCGTTGTGTGCTAGAGCACGCGTGAGCGAGCCAAAAATGACCAATACAACGCAATGTAATTTTTTTTAATGCTTTCAGCGACTGCTTCCTCGCTGACAACGAGTGTGATAGCGGCGATGATGTAGCAGCCGTTGTATGCTAGAGCACGCGCGAGCGAGCCAAAAATGACTAATACAACGCCATGTAATTTTTTCACCGACAACGAGTGTGATAGCAGCGATGATGTAGCAGTTGTTGTGTGCGTTGTAAATTTTTTTTATGCTTTCAGCGACTGCTTCCTCGCCGACAACGAGTGTGATAGCGGCGATGATGTAGCAGCCGTTGTATGCTAGAGCACGCACGAGCGAGCCAAAAATGACTAATACAACGCCATGTAATTTTTTTACCGACAGCGAGTGTGATAGCAGCGTTGATGTAGCAGTTGTTGTGTGCTAGAGCACGCGCGAGCGAGCCAAAAATGACCAATACAATGCCATGTAATTTTTTTTTAAAAAAAATGTTGCCTTAGTAGGACGCCATGTAATTTTTTTTAAAAAAAATGTTTCCTTAGTAGGACTCGAAGCCGGCACGTACAGACGCTACCAATAGGCCCAAACCACCTGGAATAGTGCAAGTTTCTGATTCCTATTTGCACAAGACCGTACTTAATATGAGTAAAACAGGAATTAGATACCCTAATAAATTACTCTTGGTATGTGAGATTATGTCTAAAACGTCAAGAATTTTGAAACTAGAGAGAGTATCAACTCTATTGATTTTGGAAAAATTGACTACAATACAAATGGCTTGTAGTATGCAATATTATCAAAGTTTCTAAATAATTAAATGGACGAAATTTAATAATAGCTTTTTCGTTTCCTTTTTTCTTGTATCTCTTGGTGGCTTATAGTTGTTTTGCTCTAACTGATAATCTCTCAGCACTAAATATTCCCTAAGTATTCACTACCATATATGGAATTTCATGATTGTCTAGTGTCCTATAAATTCTATCTTTTAGATTCTAAACTATATTAAACATTAATTAGTTCAAACATATTCGCTTATGGATTTGAATATTTGAAAGATTAATCATTTAGTATATTTAACATGATCTATATAATATAAAAACACAATTATTATTATTATTTGTTGAGGAGGGTATTACTGATCCAATTGCGTGGTATAGGAAAATGATGTTATTTTTTTCTTTCTTTGTTTTGGATTTTTTTTCTTAATAATTTTGGGTTTACCATGTATTCAGTTCTAGAGTACTACAGCGTAGACATAGACGTAGTATATTTAAAGAAGATAAATGGATGAGAGTTTATATAATTTGTAAGGGGAAAATAGTTTTGGAAGCCTCTAGAATCTATATGTGATATTCTGCTCTAGATTTTTTTCCCACTAATGATTCTTAAGCATTTATTTTATGTGGTATGAATTAATGATTTTTCTTCCAAGGAAGGGGCGCTACGTGGACCAATCAAAAGCCAGCAAAAGAGCCAGCTTTAGATTAGTAAATTAACCATGTCCTCAAATCCCCTGTCTTATGGGTTGAGCGAGCCTCTTGCATTTGCCTATCTAGAAATTGACCAGCGTTGCTAGGTGAGAATGGTTTACAAGGAGGACCTTTCTGCCATGATATTAGGGATAATACGATATTTAGCTCGTGGTTAGTGGTCATTGGTCATCCTTTCTCTTCTCAGATCTCAACAACTCGTTTTTGATCCAATAGCTCAAAACAACGGCTGAGCCTGCGAGATCGATCCCTTGTCTGTAGCTGACCGTAAGCTATTAATAGCACTTAACCAAGCAACCTGAACGACGGATTCAGATCACGATCGCAGAACTATATTGCCCCTCGTACTATCGCATGCATGCTGCATTGCTGCCTACGGATAATACAGTTTTCTCACAGGATAAAATGTCCCCGAGATGCGGGGCTTCACCAGAACACCGCCCGGAGTACACTCGTACGACGTACAGCACGTACGGCAGAGAAGCTGCGACGATGCTAGTGAGCCTTCTTGCCCCGGTAGAGGCGGGAGACGCGACTGCTCCCGGCCTCATCCTCAATTTCACCTCGTGTTCCAATTCCACTCCGCTCACTCGATCGCCTGCTCCGCTACGAATAGCCATGTTGCGACCCCCTCTGGCCCCCCAAACCGTTGGTCCCACATGCCAGAGTCCCGTTCTCCCCCTCGCATCGCAGCGTCGCACGCTTTTCACGCCATGCCGTCACGGTGCCTTCTCCTCGCTCCTCTGCTTATAAATAGTGGAAGCGCTCCACTTGGAGCACGGCCGACGAGAGCGCAGCGGCAAATATCACTAAATATCACACGAAAACCAAACCAAATCGAAGAAAGAGAGATACTGCTGTACTTGGAGCCAAGCGAGAGAGAAGACTGAGACGCGACACGCGAGCAATGGAGGCTGCGGTCGACGGCAGGTGGACACGCGTCCGCACGCTCGGCCGCGGCGCGTCCGGCGCCGTGGTGTCCCTCGCCGCAGACGACCGCTCGGGCGCGCTCTTCGCGGTCAAGTCGGCGGCGGCGGCGGCGGCGGCCGAGCAGCTCGTGCGCGAGGGGCGCATCCTTTCCGGGCTGCGCTCGCCGCACGTCCTCCCCTGCCTTGGCTTCCGCGCCGAAGCCGGCGGCGAGTGCCAGCTATTCCTCGAGTTCGCGCCCGGCGGCTCGCTCGCCGACGTGGTGGCGAGGAGTGGCGGGCGGCTCGACGAGTGCGCCATCCGCGCGTACGCGGCGGACGTGGCGAGGGGCCTGGCGTACCTCCACGGGATGTCGCTCGTGCACGGCGACGTCAAGGGGAGGAACGTGGTGGTCGGCGCCGACGGCCGGGCCAAGATCGCGGATTTCGGGTGCGCCAGGACGGTGGGCTCCGACAGGCCAATCGGCGGCACGCCGGCGTTCATGGCGCCAGAGGTGGCGCGCGGGGAAGAGCAGGAGCCGGCCGCCGATGTCTGGGCCCTGGGCTGCACCGTCATCGAGATGGCCACCGGCCGCGCTCCGTGGAGCGACATGGAAGACATCCTCTCGGCGGTGCGCCGGATTGGCTACACGGACGCCGTGCCGGAGGTGCCCGAGTGGCTGTCCGCAGAGGCGAAGGACTTCTTGGCCCGCTGCTTCGCGAGAAACCCACGCGAGCGGTGGACATCGTCGCAGCTCCTGGAGCACCCGTTCCTGGCATCGGCAGGCTGCAGCGTGAAAACAGGGGAGGCGGCGCCCCAATGGGTGTCCCCCAAGAGCACGCTGGATGTGGCGTTCTGGGAGTCGGACACGGACGACGAGGAGGACGACATGCCAGCGAGCCCCGCCGAGAGGATCAAAGCATTGGCTTGCCCCTGCTCGGCCTTGCCGGATTGGGACTCCGACGAGGGCTGGATCCAAGTGCTCAACGAGTCCAGCGAAGCTTGCGACACGGCAGTGGCCAAGGTGGAGGCCGAAGGGAAGGGGCGCGTTCTGATCGAAGCGTTGGAAACGATCAACGAATCTTCCGGTGGCGATGCAGAGTGTGTTGATCCCGAGGGCACTGTACGATTGATTACTGTTGCTTCCATTGGGCAGCAGGAAGTGTTCTGCTTGGGTCTCATTAATGACCCACTTGTATTTTCTGTTAATAAAAGTGAATTAACAAAGTCTTTGTTTCCCCAAATTGTCTCATTTTAATTCTTGCTTCTACTCATTTTCTTCCACTAGTATATGCAATTTGCACCATCTGACCAAGTTCGCAACTGCTGAACCGATGTGCCATGATGATTCCAGAAACATGGTTCTAGACTCAAGAACAGCAAATGCAAGAATCTGTGATCAGGAATGACCGGCAGTATATCCTCCATGGGGCCATTGTAAAGGCAGCGACTAGATCATACCAGCAAAGGCTAGAGAAAACACCACATCTGAGAAATCTGGGTCCTTTTTTGCCTTGGTCTGAAGTCTGAACTGCTCACATTCATCGCATATTCCTCACTACTATCTACTCTACTACTGTTGTTGAGATAAGGATGCACATGTAGAATAACATCTCCCAATCCAAATTGCCTCTGAAGAGTCGGGAGTGAAACAGCGATCGGGTCAACTGGGGGTCTCGTGACACTGGATAGTTAGCAAAGCTACTGCAATTAGGAGCGGCGCGATTGGTCCGGAGTCGGACGTGTTGCGATGCGAACTGATCGTCTCAGAGTGAATTCCAAGTGGCAATGTTTGATCTTCTCTCAAGCAGAGTAGACCAAGTTGACGTACACGTTTGATATTTGGCACACGTGGTAGGGGAGATGGGGAGAGGTGTCCAGGAGCTTGTCTAAATCCACAATATTAGCTCACCGCGACACGTGTCCTGGTAGGCTCTTCCGTGAAACTTCAGTGCGCGTTTCTAGATGTTTACTGTACACTTGCTGCCCTGCCAGTCATCCGGAGTTCTGAAATTCGCTAGAAGTAGTCGAGAACATATTCTCAGAAGTAGTAACTTATGTTCCAGAAAAAAGAAAGAAGTTTGGAAAGGTGACTTACGGGGATACAGTAGTTTCTTAATCTCTTCTACTCTGCATTAAGTGCCGGATAATACCGTGCTGCATTTCTGAATTATGAATTCCTTGCCGTTTACGGAATGAAAATAGCTGTTAATTGTGCAGTTAGCTGCTGTTAGAGTGGATTGAAGTCATCATATACAGCAGTGAAAGAATTTGGTCGCCAACACGACATCTGAAAACCGCCAGCAACCTTGCCGTGCGTCAACCACCTTCACATTTCAATTCCCTCGCGACCGCTTCATCGCCGCTGGTTCTTGAGGAGCAAGAGGGGAAAAGTGTGGGGGGGCGTAGACTAGTTCTGTTAATTATCTTAGGAGGGTTTGTTCCAAAAAGAAAAGAAAAATAAAATCTTAGGAGGGCAGGGGCACCAAACTGTGTAGGTAGGTGGCGTCCAGGTCAACTTTTCAATGCAGAGAAGCCATCTTTGTGCTTAACGAAGATTTTGGGCAATAATTAGCTAGTCATCAAGAAGGAAGTTGGGCAACAAGAATCTCGTGCATATGTAACCCGTGGTGATGGCCACATCACGTTGCTTGCGTCATCTCTGGATTTCAGTTGGGGGCTCTGGATCAATAGTGTTTTAGGATATCCTGTACTGGCTGTAACAACTAACAAGTGTGCATACTGAATTGAGAGTGGGATATACCCCGCAAAAAAAAGAGAAAGAATTGAGAGTGTATATACTAGTATGGCTGTGATTATACAGTGGTGTCTGCAAGTGCCAATGTGCCATGCTGGGTTGGTACATGTTGGTTTTTTTTTTTTCATGAACCTGGGTCTCTTTAACAATCTGAGACAAGTTGGTGTGAGTTAATAATATTCTCATGTTGTGAGTTAATAATATTCTCTGTGTGCGATGAGATGATATAGGGCTGTCCTTGAGACAAGTTGGTGTGATTCTGACTGCTATTGTAGTTGTGTTCAGTGGGCATATCCAGCAAGGGGGTGAATGGTTCAAAAAAAAAAGAGCAAGGGGGTGAAAAAAAATGGTGTGTTTCTGAGTAGTACAACTGTAGTTGAGTTCAGTGCCATACCCTGCAGCAAGAGGGGAGGGAAGGGGAAAAAAAATCTAGGCACGAGATCATTGGACGATGGCGACGCGCAACAGTGAAACGTGCCAGTAGGGCATATGGTGCGTGCGCGGCGTGAACCGTGATGCGTCGGCCCGTCGGTGACGCGCGCACCTGGTCCAGCGCCGGCGCCAAGATAAGTCTCGAGATCAAGAATTCCGAGAGAACCTTTCCTTCCTGATCAGCAGCCAGCCGCCCGGCCACTTCCGGGCGAATTCATGCACAGCCCGGAGATAATTACAGATGCGCGGCGTTGCACGCAATACTACTACTCCACTACCAATCATGCGTGCGAAACAGTATAGGTGCATGCACCGTGCGTGCGCGATACTATTCAGAAGGTAGGGGATAAACTTGGCAGCCGGGGGTGGGTGAACAGAGTGGTAGAAATCTATTGTCAGCCAGGCAAAAACAAACGCCGGGGCCACTGTCGCTTTGGCGTGCCGAATTGCTGCATACTCCGGTCACCCTCTGCAAGCAGCACACCACGTTAGTGCTTACGCCTCTCCTCTGCAAGCTGCGAAGCAAAAGAAAGACAAACAAAGTGAAAGTAATGGAAAAGAAGCCGGTGCGGTTAATCTTTCTCTGAAACGGATCATGACGACGATTCAGAGTTTAGATTATTCCCCATGGGACGTTTGCCTTGTCCCGGTGGTGCACCAACCACAAGTCCGCAAGCAAGATAGATAGATAGACCATAGATATGCCGTTCGCCCGTTCCTGTACCGGATAAGTCTTCTTGTGTTGTGTAATGTGTCTGTGTTAGGTCAGTACTAATTTCTACTCAGGTATGAAACGTGACCACGGTTTGGTGCAGGTAAATTCGGTCACGAGGCCAGTATATATTTGGATTTTTCAGTGAAGCCATCCGAGAATGACTTTCGCTGCATGGAGTTCAACAATTCAACCAACATGTGTTAGTTGACAGTATTTTTTTTACACCATTGGAAGATTTCACGGTCAGTGCCAATGATACCCATTACCCAAGAGGCTTATAATAGTCAAGCAGAGCATATGCTACTCTATTCTGAGCTCGCTGGACCAAACGGTAGGTGAGGGCCAGGCACGTTTGATTTGTTCAGAAAGTCAAAACATGTGCCGGAATCGCATTTGCATCGTTGCATGGCCGAACTGTTCGGGCTGGAGAGAGAGAGAGAGAGAGGAGCAGTTCAGCCTAACTACACATGCCGCGCAAAACATGGTGCGAACCGAGCCACACCTACAGGGAGATCTAGCGAAGGGTACCCAATCGAACCAAAGAGATCCGAGCGAAACAAACTCATTTTCTAATCGTGGTGGCCTAACAAGTCGGGCAGATTTGCTGTTGGTGCTACTCAGATATGTGCAGTATCGATCTCACATAGTCACATCCCGTGAACAGCCTGGCTGTCTCTTGTTGGTGTTTGTACGTCTGATCAGTCGATCGAATCACATGCCGCTGATAAGCACATGCGACTGGATCATCAGGGAGAGGAGGGATAGGTTGATCTCATGGCTCGTGATGAGCTGGTAGCTAGCGCCTAACTGTGAAGCGGGCACGCGTGATGTAATGCATTGTGAGACAATTGCATCTCCACACGACGCGAGATCGCGTGCTCTTCCCTCTCTTTTGTGGCTGTGGCTAGATCACGCGAGCAAATTCCACGTTTATTTCCCGTGTTTGCGCGATGTGCTACGGACTGCTCGTTGGGTTTCAAGAGAACTTTTAGGCGAGATCCATCAGTAGTCGTACGAGTAGCACGTACATAACCTAATCGCAATGCACTGCCTAACTTGCAGGACCGCACCTACATGTTGATATATGTTGAAGGACATCTTGATAGCGATCAATCAGCATGTGGTTGCCAATTGAACACCAATATCTAGATCACTTCCAAAGGTTCGATCAATCCAGCTCGAATGTGGCAATCTTGAGCTCAGATTCCACTGGTGTTTTTGCAATGCTGTGAGCCGGTGGGCATCAAGCCCCTAAAAGAACAGAGGAAGATGAACAGGGCCTGTTCACAGTGCCTCGCTATCCATCCAAAAAGGTAAACAGCAGAGTTAGCTTTGACCTCTCCTCTCCTAAAGTGGATCATCGATATCTTTTTATTAAAAAAGAAATTCCACACAAAAAGGAGAGAGGAAGTACGATATGACGTCCTCGTGGGCCTAAAGTGACGTCATAGTGACGCGCAGTAAAACGGCATGCTTTTCTCCGTACGGCTCAACAACGGGTTTAGTGAAATCGCCGGGTGTAATCACACGTGATTAAGTCGCAATCCAGTATTCCGTACGCAAAACTGCTTGCAGAACAGACCTGCCAACTTTACTAGAAGGGGATGGATTGCCGTTCGCTAACGACTCCGATCCTGATCGCTGGAAACATGAGCTAATTTTGACATATTCATAATTCATGTCTCGCTCGAACTAATTTTGGTCTCGAACTGTCACGTGATTGATTTGCAAAGTAGTAAAGGAGACGTAATGAAAAGTTAAATGCACCAACTGGTTGGTCACAACGAGAGGAAATTTGAGCGGAATTTAATTTTATTACTCTGTTCCTGTTACAAACACAATCGAATCTCACTGATTCAGTCCCGTCAGTATCGAACGGGTGAAAAATTTCATTTTTACCACTGCCAAGATGTACGTGCAGGTAACTGCCCTGCCTAATGGAGGATTCGATCGCTTCTGCTTCATTGCGCGGGACATGGTTGACGCCATCCGCGGCGACGGCGAACTGCTCCATCTCTGGGTCAGACAGTTCTGCCCAGACGAAGTAGTCCGCGTCGCTGGCCGGCGGCGTGACGGCGGCGAAGGAGACCTCGTCGTGCACCTCGATCCATCCTTCGTCGGAGTCCCAGTCCGGCAAGGCCGAGGCGGCGCACGCCAATGCACCGATCCTCTCCGCCGCGCCGGTTGGCATCTCGTCGTCCTCGTCGTCGGTGTCTGAGTCCCAGAACGCGTCATGCAGCGTGCTCTTGGGGGATGCACGTTCTTGCTTCGCCGGCTCCGGCCAGCGGTCGAGGGCCGCGGCGGAGGCAACGAATGGGTGTTCCAGGAGCTGCGCCGCCGTTGACCTGTCGGACGCGTTCCTCTCGAAGCAGCCATCCAGGAAGTCCT